CCGTGCTTGAACTCTCACTTTCTTCCTTGGGTTTCTGTATGCCCTCTTTCGCAATTAATGCACCACCACCCTCATCCTCACCATCAACGCCTTATTAATTCTCTAACCCTCTCCTGCCTCCATTCTCCTCAGCTGCTCTGCTCTTTATCTTTTTATCTCCAAACTTCATTTCTCTATTCCCAAGGTGATGGATCTCCTCTAGCCTTCCCCTCACCTCTCTCCTCTCTTCACTTTTCGAGTAATCACGCTTCTCATCTTACGTTCTTACTTAGGCATGCTTCATTTCAATTTCATCCCTCTGAAAATCTTAACGGGTATGAGCGTGCTTTGATTTAGATCTTGGTGGGTCGCTGCTGATAGTTAGAAGCTTGTGCTTTTGGGGCCTAAAGGACCGAAGAGAACACAGTTCATTTCTTCTATTTTTCTGCAAGTTTTGATCAATGTGCCATGTTTCTATCGAGATGTTTGTAATTTTACAATTCCTGAAATTTTGTTCTTTCCCAAGTTGAGGTTACTGCCTTTTAAATCTTTGGGTTGGTAGAGTTTATTGAAATCTTCTGGTTCAGCTATGTTGGTGTTTGTGTTCTGAGTCTGAACCCTCACTCACTGTGTTCACAGAAAAAGGGGGGGATTAAAAAAAATTACATATTCAGCTATTCACATTTCTGGGTTCACTGTTTCTACTTTTCGGTCTTTTGCCATTATGATAGATAATTACGTAATATTTACCCGATCTCCAATGCATTTTCATTCTGGCTCTCCGCGGGAGTCTTTGTTGACGAGATTATAACTTTACTTCGTCCTTTTCTGCTTTTGCGTTTTTCACTTTTCCTCTTGTCGTCCTGTAGTGAGAAAATATGAGTTTGTGCTCTTTTGCTTGCCTTCACTTTATTTTTCCTCTCTTCAAAAAGAGTCCATTTACCAAATTTATGCTCTTCTTTGTTGCAGAAGTAAACGACGAAAAGGCAGAGAATATCTCTGTTTCTTATCAAGTGCTTTTTGTTCGTGGGCATTTCCTCCCATTCCCATTACGATCTCATTCAGGTAGGTTTGTTTCTAGTTTATTTGTTCTGATTTTCTCACCTCTACCTTACAATTTGATTTTGTTTTCCTTTCATTGTTCCACTTAAAAGTGGGTTCTTGTGAGATTGCTCTTCCTCTTCCTCCTCCTCCTCCTTCTTAATGTGAACTGAGAGATCTAATTTCAAAGAAAATGAAAGACAGGGAAATGTAAGGTTTGCAAAAATCTAGAAACGACAGGGTTATATAGTTTTGCTTTCTGGTTTCATCTGCTTAAATTAAAATTTTAAAGCTTAGTTTCGCGATTAAATTATTTCGAAGTTTCCATTTTGATAATTTCGATGTGAATTCTGATGAAAGACGAATAATCGGTCTTTTCTTTCCTTGGTAGTATATTCCGATCCTTTATCTCATGTTAGGATTTTTAAATTCACCCGTATCTGATTAATTGAGTTTCTTAATTTTTTTTATCTGCAGGCTAGAATCTTCGAAATCTTAAGTTATCCGCTGATTCACCTGTCTTCTTCTATGAGCGGTTTTTATCATCCATTCGTATAACCTCCGGCAGATCATCGAATTTGACCAAGCAAGAAAGACTCCATTTTCGACATTGAAGTGTGAACAGGGTCACAGAATTTTGACCATTCTTGGCTTGCCATCTCAGAGGTTTGTGAGATCCATAGTGGAAAAGAATCGAAGTAACTTGACTTCAATTTCATAGGATCAAATGTCTTGTTTGTGGAGTTGATCAAATGGGGTGTTGCGTATCCACAAGCAGTCGAAGTACTTGTAGTAGTAAGAGCAATGGCGACACGATCTCTCCATCTTGTTTGGAAGTAGGTTTCTGCGGGCAAAAGAGAACAAGGAGAACGTTCTCTGATCATGTCATTGCTCTTCAGAATCTGCCGTCCCTACCGAATCGAATTTTCACCAATGGAAAGAGCCGGACTTCTTGCATATTCACACAACAAGGCAAAAAGGGTATCAATCAGGATGCCATGATTGTATGGGAAGTAAGTATATTCTTTTTCTTAATCATTGAAGGATGACTTAGTTTTTTTCCTTGTTTTTCATACAGATATCTTTGTTTGGATCTGTGTTTATGTAGGACTTTATCTCTGAGGATGCTATTTTTTGTGGTGTCTTTGATGGCCATGGTCCATATGGTCATGTTGTTGCGCGCAATGTGAGGGATACCTTGCCAGTAAAACTACTTTCATTTCTGCACTCTTGTGAATCAAAGAGAAATGGATCTGGCTCAGGCAAAGCTTGCTTCAAGGGGAATACTGATGATGGAGTCTGTGAGAAGGATTGTTCGGCCGAGGATGTAGTGAATTCTGTCTGGAGAGAAGCTTTCATGAAGGCTTATAAGGCAATGGACAAAGAACTTAGGTCCCATCCAAATTTGGACTGCTTCTGTAGTGGGAGCACGGCTGTCACTATAGTGAAGCAGGTAGTACATGGATCAGTGTGAACGATGAAGTCTCTGAACATGATTCTTCTTCTTCTTCTTCTTCTTCTTTTCGCTTACCCCTTTTCTTATTTTACTAAGTTGTTGCACTTACAGGGTTCAAATCTGTTCATGGGAAACATTGGGGATTCTCGAGCAATCATGGGATCCAAAGACACCAATGATTCCATGGTGGCCATTCAGTTAACTGTTGATTTGAAGCCTGATTTGCCAAGTGTGTGATATGCTGTCTTCATTCATTGTTTCCCCGTGCAGTTTATGCTTTGTTGTTGAGGCTAATCTATTCTAATTCTGTTGAATCTTAAAGGGGAAGCAGAAAGGATTAAACGGTGCAAAGGCAGAGTATTTGCATTGCAGGATGAGCCTGAGGTTCCCAGAGTGTGGTTGCCTTTCGATGACGCACCCGGATTAGCCATGGCTCGGGCATTTGGAGACTTCTGCTTGAAGGAGTATGGTGTGATTTCCATACCTGAGTTTTCTTATAGGCTGCTTACCGACAAAGATCAGTTCATCGTTCTTGCCTCTGATGGGGTACAAATTCCCGGTCTCATTCTAATAATTTATTTGTTCATCCGTTCATTCAATTCAGTCATGGTTTCCTCAACAATATCAATCCCTGCAGGTAGACATTTCTCTGTATGAAGTAGGACATGTATAATGTGGACAAACAAATAGTTAAATAGCTATTAGTTCAGTATATCCTACGAAATAATCATTAAATAGAGGATGATAATAACTTTAGGCATCAAATTTATTTATTGATTTGATTTGTTTATTACTTTTGCTCCTTGCCAGTTAAGTTGGATAGTGATCTTCAACTGTAACAGAACAGACACACTGGGTTTCATATCAGCACCACAATATATGTTTGTGAATTTGGCAGATTTAGTTGAATACTTTACTGTAGATGCCCTGCATATTGAATTATCGATCAGTATCAATATCTATATGACTTATAAGAAGCCGTATTATTCTCGAGTTTTAAACATGGCAACTCATCTCGCTTTGTGTGATGCACATGACTCACATCTAGTTAGAATCGGAAACCTTAATGTTTCACGAAACAAACTTAAAAGACCAGATCAAACAGTAAGTTTACGGTATCAGAATACTAATTTAACCTATAAAACTGGTTCTATTTAACACGAATGCTGCTTTTATTTGATTCTTTTTACCTTTACACAAGTGATTCTTCTGTCTTGTTCAGGTGTGGGATGTGTTAAGCAATGAAGAGGTGGTTGAGATAGTAGCTTCAGCACCGACTCGTTCGTCTGCTGCAAGGATTCTCGTGGATTCTGCAGCTCGGGAGTGGAAGCTTAAGTATCCAACGTCAAAGATGGATGACTGTGCTGTTGTGTGCCTGTTTTTGGATGGGAAGATGGACTCAGAATCTGATTATGATGAGCCCGGCTTTTCTTCAGCAACCATCCAGAGCAACCATTCTGGCAATCCGGTTGAATCAGATGACGGCCAGAAGTCCGAGCCTTCTCTGCACCGGAACTTCACCGTGAGATCTGCCGATGAAAACGAGACGTATGGAGGACTGCCGGTGGACGTGGAAGATGGAACAATGTCATCAGTGGAAGATCAGAACTGGTCAGGTTTGGAAGGTGTGACCCGTGTAAATTCACTGGTTCAGCTTCCTCGATTTTCTGAGGAAAGGCCAAACACTTGAATCCTGTTGGATGTTGGCTTGTGGGCAAGAACTGAGATTGCTTTGCTGCAAACACTTCAAGCAATACTGTGAAATGTGAATTGAAAGACGCGACTGTTTTGTCGGAGAAAATTTAGCTGATTTTGTAACATGGTTCGTTCTTCCATCAATGTATGACATGTTTATATGTTTAATTGAATAATTTGTTAGTAGACACCTGACAAATTTTATTCAAATCTTGATTTTAAGCACTTTTATACGCCTGCATGGAAAATTTTAGATGCTGCGTTTTTAAGATGAAGATTGGAATTTTGCAGTTTTTAATTAAGAGAAGTTATGGGCAAATGAGATCAGCGTAATTAATGGAGGAGCTTATATAATGAAGGCTGATAGCCTAATACTGCCAACATAATAAAAAAACGAACCGAATCCTCTCTTTCACTTTGTGCAAAGGCCCCAAGAGAAGTTGGGGCAAAGTAAATAATGAAAATATATGTGGTTCAGCTGTGAACACGAAGACCACATCATAATAGCAAGCGGACGTGAAGTAATCCTCTACAAATTTTTGTCCACAAACTAGTTGAAGATTAAACTAGAAATATCTCATTCAAATTAAAATACGAAGCTCTCTTTCATTCATATGGAGAGAAATAGATACATAAACAGGTTTATCTAGAGGCAATCCGTTAAGTGTTGAGTAGAAAAACCTAAGTAGAGGAGATAACATCAACAAACGATGCAGAAATGTGTCGGCTCATAAATCAGCCGACTAGGATCTCCATAACTGGCCGCTGTGGCATTGGTGAATATTACCGAAACTGGAAGGTATTATAAAGTGATACCAATGCCGTTTTCACCAAGCTCCAAATTATCACCCACCAAGAGACCCCATTGCATTTCCGATGACACCATCTTAACTCGCCGACGTATTTCATCCAACTCCACCGCAAACACTGACTATAAATTGAAGCCATTCTCAACGTGGCTTCAACACAAAAGCATATCTCCACAGATTTCCTCTCCTACAATGGCCTACAAGTACACTTCCACTTTCCTTGCACTTGTTCTTATCTCCAACGTCGTGCTTGCCAATGTTACTACAGGACGTCACGTTCCCAAGAAATCCAAAACCCAGGACAAGAAAGAGCCAGAGTGGTTGTTTCACTCTGGTGATCATGGCATTGGACGGCTAGGGCTGCCGCCTAAGTTTAAACTTCCTCACTTCCCCTACAATGGTGGAAGCACTGGTGGAGGCGTCGAACCGGGTTCAGGGCCAACCGGACGTAGATATGTTCCTGGCGGTGATGATACGTTTGTCCCAAATCCAGGTTATGAGGTCCCGTATCCTGGTGGTGGAGCTCCGGCACCTGTTCTTCCCTGAGATCACTCAATTACAACTAGCAAGCTATCGTGCATGAATGAATGAACTCGATTCTGCTATTACTTTATTAAAGTGTGCCCTAGGGAGTGGAACTTCTCGTTTTTAAGGTCGTTTGTTCCAGTTTGTGGTGAATAAGGTATAAGGATGCTTAAGTTGCGGATTTATGCTATTTCGTAGTGTTCTCAAAGCAGATGCCGGTTATGCATCCTGAATCATAATTCTTCATCATCCAGTGATTTATAAGCAACTCGGGTTAAAAATCTTCACATGCAGATGAATTGCATCGAGAAAAAGTAGAAATTTAAAATGAAAACATCTTGTACAAATTAATTGTTCTGGTATTACTAATATGGGTTACCCAGAATTAGTCAAAATAAAGGAAACATCCTTCACCATCAGTCCGCTACCTTACTTACTGTACGTCAATCACTTCTGGGAATATTGGTTGTTTGGTTTTCTTGGAAGTACTTTTTAAAAGTATTTTTAAACGGGCCCAGATATAACTATTTTCACATACTTATTTTATATATTATAAAATTATTTTTAAAATTATGATTTAGTTTTAAATGTACTCCACCAAAAAACAAGAGGAATATCAACAGGGTAAATTCATCCAGTTTTTCATTTCAGAATCAAGTAATGAAAGGATGTTGTCACTACCATTAGTGCGCGACATACTTGCATGACTTGTCAATATTATAGAGCTCGGTGTTGAGCTCATCTATAATTTCTCAGCGTTAGAACTTAGAGCCCTTTGATTTCACACTCCCATTCGATTTCTCTTTATCATATGAGCCTGGCATTGAGTTTATCAATGAATCTCTGTACGTTAGAATCCTTCAGTTGCACACTTCCACATCAGCCACATGGACTCAATTACAAAGATTGCTAGAATCAACAGACTCATTCAATTTTCTTCATCAGCTCACGAAAACAATGAAAGCTACAGGTGGGAGTGCCAGTGCCATGTATAAGCAAGTGACATCACCTAACTACCAAAAGTCTATCACATGCGAAACAGTAGTTTTGCGTCTGTGTCCCCCATTCACAACCCTCCCGAGAAGAGAGAGATTAAAACCTGCTCCTAAATAATCTTAATACCTCTTTCCTGGTCCCCCTCCTCCACCAGAAAAAAAATTGAAACAAGAAAAAGGAAAATAAGGCTAACTCATGAATTTTACATGCAAGAAATTTTATGCGAATGATTAAAACGCTGCATATCACAATTAATAAGTAATGATTAAAACCAGGCCGTAGGTGTTACTGTTACATCCCTGATACAGCAAAATGTATTGATTTCAAAAACAAGGATCAGGAATACCTTTGTCACAAAAAAAAAAAACAAGGATCAGAATGATAATATCGTTTTCAGAAGGAAATCCCATTTCAATGTCCAAGAGAAAGAAAAATGTATATCCTGTCACCATCAGTTTTGATCCTTGTGTCTCCCCACGCAATCTATAGTTCTATACTCTGCATTTTGATCAGGATATCAGCTGCCATAGCTCTTCATCATTGTCGAGGTAAATCAAGTAGAATTTAGATAATCTTATTGGTATTAGACATCAATAAGGATTCCATCAATTGTAAATCTGAGACATACGAATATTACATGTAAGACAAAAAAGAAGGGGAATACAATCCCAAAGCTTCAGATTTACAGAGCAAATATTTCTCAATACTTAGATTACATGTTAGGCTGTAATAAAACTGACAATTACCACCCCCTTTCGCCTTACAAGTACATCCAACACATCGGAGCCTAGCATGTCACGAGTATCCTGCCAGGAGAAAGAAAGATGGAGAAGGTAAACAAAACAAGTTAAAGCATGCTCAGGAAAAGTAGCAAGATTACCAAACGCACAAATACAATCTCAAGATGAGAAATGCTGTTGGTGAAAATCTACAAGCTAAAGGAAATTATTATAACATTGTAACTTCTCAAGTTAAAACTTTCGAGGGAGAAAAAGAATTCATGAACACACAGCTACACACGCACAACCAACTGCAGAACAACTAAAATTAGGAAGCATTGTTCCTTTCTTTTTCATTAACTTACAAGCAAAATAATGAACATAATACATAGAGAATGGCAATGTTCTCAAGCAACATGATAGATATACAGGTTGACATGGTAAACACACAAATAAAACTCTCATGTCCACTCATATGGGAAGAAAAAATTAACGAGAATAAACTCTTTAATTGAACTCATGATTTGAATGAAAATGACAATGTGAGAATTAGCGTTGCAAATTACAACATGAGCTCACCAAACATTACAAGATTGTAATCGATAGACGTACCCTTTATCTCTACACCGGCACATAACAATAACGAGAAACACGAATTTGGAAAGGAAAATAGTGGTGCGGCAATTAAAAAGAAAAAAGAAAAGAAAAGAAATGATTGAAAATAGTGGATACCTGATTCAGATCAGATCAACGTGCTTCTGCATATATCAGAATTCAAATGCCGATCATCTTGAGAATGATGAAGACTAAGAATGCGAAAAAGATCAAGAGGAAGAGATAGTCAACGAAGACGAAGAATCGGGTGGATCCATGATTCCTTTTCTTGATTTTGGACTTGGATTCATCCAGTTCTTCAAGTTTCGCCATGAGTTCGAATTGCACAGTTGAAGCCTTTGGATACGACCGATTTGTTATCTATTTTTATTTTCAAAATTAGATAAATCCGACAACTGCAGAGGATGAAGAAGTCCAGTAAGCGAAGGAAGATGCCGAAAAGGAAAAACAATGGGCACGAGGGAAGCTCTGACGAATGTTTGGGCCTCCGACCCAACCCGTTTCCTCTAAGGTCCGAGTCAAGCTCTGTCTTAACAGTTACCACATTGGCCAGCAAAACCTCCCAACAGTTTTGCACATTTGAATCGTTGGTCTTGGAATCGAATGTTGAGCTCAAACCCGGAACGGGTTTATGCTTGAAACGATTAGTTTTTTAAGCAAGAGAACCGATTTAGTTAAAATCATATTTAATATCATTTTAAATTTATTCTCATATTTATATTTATATAAAACTATAGTATTGGCCTCTATTTTGCACTGAATTAAAATGAGTTACATCACTAATAATTTATGAAGTGTGTTACATATTGCGGATTTTATTTTATCGGTGTGTGTTTACATATAGAGATACAAAGAAAGCACCTAAACTAGGCATACCGGCTACATGAATAAGTGAATTCACCATATACTTCCGGAACGGTATCAATTTTACACAAATCGAGGTAGATGCCAATAGCTTCCAATCTTGTTCATGCCCAAGAAGCTTTTGTCTTGATACCAACTATAACAGACTTATCAACCTAAAAATATACACCAGTTGCTATTAATGGAGGTTTTAGATTTCGCCCACCAGTTGATACAAGGAGGCATTCTTTATTTATGCAGGTAGATTAAGTCAATACAATGCATCGTTAGGAAGAAGAACAAGCCTAAACATGATTTGTGTTTATGTATTTATGTAATCATCTATCCATCTCTCGATCTGGTTCTGCAACATGCGCATTACACCACGGGCAGAAGGATGTGAACTCCCTTGCAGACTAGTAGTTTTACGCCACAGCAGGTTGAAACCAGTGGATAGTAACCCTCAATCTTCCTCCAAGCTTTGAACAATGAATCATAAGTTTTTGCAAGGTTGATGACTCTTGTAACTGCCTCCAATAAAGGTTTCCCAAGATTCCATCTCTTCAACTCATTTTTTCCTGGTAGTAGGCAAGGTAAACAAGCAGCAGCAGCCATTAACTCAACAAGATGTACTAGATCAGTAAGAGATTGGGAGTTTTTTTGGGAACACATAACATTTTGGGTACAAGATCAAGAACGAATTTATGATATGTCTATTACATGTCTCTTATTGGCCAAGTTATTTAGCAAACCTTGACCAGTAAACAAATGCATTAGATCGCTAATGCATGCACACGTGTAGAAAATGCATGAATGGAGGAAGAGGTGAATAGGCACTGAATAGTTTCTCTTTTCATTCAGGAAGCCTTCAGAGGAAGTATGCGGGTGTGTTTATACCTTTGATTCTCAGGTGGCTGGTGGTCTGAAGAATTAGATAATGTTGCTTCCTCAGCTGCTTCAGATATTCGAGCTTCTGATTTCTCGTTCGAATAACTGAAAATGGAAAGAAGAGTGCATGGCTGAGATTCATACCAAACAAATTACTGATGTCTGATGGTTCTCATACAAAAATCGTTGCCAGATCAAAAAGATACTCATAAAGATAGATACGTTTCAGGAAGGAAAAAAAAAAAAAATGGGCTTAACAGGCCTGTTAATGGGGTTTCGCAGTCAAACAACCACTCAGATATGGAAATGACAGCATGGGATTAACAAGTAACCAAACAAAATATGAACATTACAATACTGCCTTAGTGTTGTTCATGGCAGATGGATTCATGTGCAATAATTCAACATAAAATAACATGTGCCTACGTTGAAAGTATTGTGACCCAGATGAGCTCCACGCAATCCACCCAAAGAAGCCTTTGTTCCACAGGAATTACACCATAAGTGATCAGATGTGCAAAAGGCCAAAGCTTCCACCCCGCCTGTCGAGAGAATGTAGATCATCAGCGAATAAATCAATTGAGGGGGGATGAGATTTACAGTTTATCATTATTTCTAATCAATTAAGCATATATGGACTGGAAAAATTACAAAAGCAAACAGTTTAGTTCATCATCAAATAACTTTTTGCCCTTTAAAATGTTTATTACACTAAATTAACGGTCATTCCTTGCTTCTTTCCCCTCTTTTCCCCTTACTTCTTTCAAGTCCTTAGGCAGGGGGATAAAAACAAAGTACTATTTGATTTTTATTTTTTATTTTTTTGGCCAGAAGAATTAACTGGAAAGTCCAAAATTTTGGATTAATCAGACATAAAAAAGAAGAACGTTAACTTTTTAAGCCGAATGCTTAACCTGTCACAACCACAGTTATTTGCTTATAAAAGGTTCTTCAATATTACAAGCAACTATACAATAAAACCCCAGAACAAAAGGCAAGAGCCAAGATGTCATCAGTCAGCCAGCTACATGCTTCAGTTCACTTAATGAGAAACCCTGAAGCTATAGAACAGGCACAACATAGTAAACAGCCATAATTACATCATGGGAGATCCTGAAGATACAGTATGACCTGAAGTTGTCTTCCAAGCTTTTAGGAGAAACATATTACCTCCGATCTTTAATATAAGAGTTAGCTTGACATTCAATTTGGTTCTAAATAGAAGACCCAAATCCATTTTGTCTATAATATTTATCCATTTTTTAAAAATAGTTCTTGTAGTAGTTGCACATGTTAAACGTTCTATTCAATAGTACTTCTAGCTAATACACATGATTAGCAAGGGTATCTATTTATTACAAATAACTAACTTAACAAACTTTCTTAATCTACTCAAATTGGTCAACTAGCTCTTATATTAAGAATCAGAGGTAGTATATACCCAAGATCCATCATAGGCTACAACACATTTTTGAGTCTAGGGGAATAGAATACGCATCAATCAAAGAAAGCCAAATTTTCAGATTGGTAAAATTTGACATCCATATGAACTTACAATGTCATCAAAACCAAGTTCACAAACTGATAGTTAATCATAGATGACATCCGGAATCAGCATCGTTATTAGCATTACAAATTAATGATATGGTTTCTTACAGTCAGCATGGGCCAAAATGTGGACTTCAGTTCACCATATATGTTACTGATAGATTCTGCTCGTAGCAGCCCCAAAACCACAAAGTAGATACTGTTCCAAATTGCTGCCCACACGGTTTGGTCAAAAGCAACCTTAGCAGGCACAACCCACCAACCATGGAAAGGGAAAATAGCCTGTAAAACAATTAAATAATTTCAGTCACACAGCATATCATCCTCTTTTCTTGTCTGAACCAAATTAGCGCAGTAATCACCTCACAAAGTTGGTAATAGTAATGAGAAAGAGATCCATGGAGAGTGAACCCAGCAAGACCTGATCTGAACAATCTAGTCCGATCAAACTCAAAAAGAGGCCTTCCTTCATAGCACTGCACATTTAGTTAGAACTCAGAACCAAGAAGTCATTGAATAGTTAATAACACGAGTATGTGATGAGCATCACTGACTTTCTTGGGTCAATATCTCAGCAACGTACCTGAGCTATCCAGTCTCCTATGGAGTACACAATCCCACTGATTGCCATTTTGGCTAAAACGGGATTTTGTTGCAGAGCTTGTTCATAAGCTATCCAATTGTGTTCAGGTACATATCTTAGTATCTCATAAAAGGTCCAACCCTAAATAACAAGAAGCTAGTTAGTTGCTCAGTTCTTCAAATATCTTATACAGAAATTACACTGTTGGTTGCTTACTTTCTTAAATACTAAGTTTGAGCTATTAGCAATCTCTCTGTAGAAAAAATACGACTTTGTGCAATTAAAATATAGTTCTTAAGCTTCTAAAGATGCACTAAACCAAGGTCCCCGCTTTGTTTGTGAAAGTCCGTCTCAGGGCCATTAGGATCTTCTGGAACGTTTTATACTCTTGAATAAAATGTTCTAATCTCTGTCTCTATGCCTATACTCGATTATAAGAACAGGTAGAAATCCCGACAACACTTCAGAGAAGCACATTGCTGTTCATAAATAAAGGTTATTAAGCGGGTCAGTGCATCACCAACCCAGAGTAAAGCGACAATGGACAGTATCTATAGAAATTATATTGGCATATAAGTTTTGTATACAGAAATAACTACTATCTAATTAGCTGTAAGAGAAAATTAACACTTCAAAAGGAAAAATTAAATTTCACTTCGTATTCAAGATACTCACATGCCAGTAATCATGGTCGATTGTTAGTAACTTAGTAACTGCAAATGACCCAAATCCCAACACCATGATCGCATTGATTGCTCGGCTTGTAAGTCGATCAGAATCGTCACCACCACCACCCCCTCCTGCCTCCATTTTGGATGAAAACGATGACGAAGAAGCTGAAAGGCCCTCAGGTTCATCAGACCCTTTTAGAGTTAAACGGTTTTCGGTTTCCTCTGGCCCATTATCCACCGATACTACCTCCCGATCCTCTGTGACGGAGCCGACGACCCAATTTCGCGTTCTGCTGTGAAGGTGGGTTTTCTTTGAGAGGGAGATTTGGCGGAAGAACTGAGAAGAGCTGATCGCGGTAGATATTCGTCTGGGGAATTGAGTGGGAGCTGGCAAAAACTCGAGAGCTCCTGGGGCGCAAACGCTACAGAAGGAAGCCATGCTTGAAACTGGATCAGATGATGGGGTTGTGCGGGGTGATCATAGCGCAAAGTTTCCTCTTTCCAGAGAAAACATAAATTGCGAGTCAAAATTTGATTGCTTGCAGCTTTCTGGTGCCTATTTCTCCTACCGTCCTTCGTCCCCCGTGGGAAACCGTAGTTCACATTCATACAATTTTTCTCGTAATTTGTGATTTACTTGATCCTCGTTGCTCCAGGTGCCTCAAAAACACAATTTATATATGGTACAGTAATATTAGTTTTATATATAAATATATATATTATGGACTTGTGGCTTGTTGATTACTGCGTCACACAGTCACACACGTAACTAGCCAACTAGGAAACTTGTAAATTCGGAAGAGATGGCAGAGCGTTGGCACACGAAAAAGAAAAAGTACGGGCTGTTATTTTTCTAGAGAATAAGGGAGTCCTCGAGAAAGGCTTATTAGCATTTTAGTTTCTACTTAGGGATAATTAATCTGCAAATCCTTATAGTTTCAACTAATTTTGAATCAGGTCCCTATAATTTTTTTTCTTTTTATCAGATCCTTATACTTTCACCTGTTTTTAATTAGGTCCTTGCATTTATTTTTCTTTTTATCAAGTCCTTATAAGATCACCTTATTTTTAAGTAAGTCCCTGAATTTTTTATTCTTTATTTTATAAATTCTAATAGTACTATTTTATAAACATAAAATAGTATATATTATGTAATATTAGTTTATAAACAATAATATTCTAAAAATAATGAATTATTATAATAATTTTATTTTTTTAGCAAAAAAAATTAATTGTTTTAAAAAAATTTCCTTAATTAATTAATTATATTACTTATCTTTTATTATATAATTATTAATATTTTATATTTCAGTACTAATTTATTTAATTAAGTTCATATTTAATTAATAAATAAAAATAAAAACTAGATGGACCTAATTAAAATTTTAGTGAAATTATAAGGACTTAATAAAAAGAAAAATAAATGTGAGGACCTAATTAAAAATAGATGAAAGTATAAGAACCTGATAAAAAGAAAAAAAACTTTAAGGACCTAATTCAAAATTGGTTAAAACTATAAAGACTTCCAGATTAATTAACCCTTCTACTTATGAAAAAGTTGTCAATATAAGTATCTTATTAATTTCTAAAAGTTATTATCTCAAGTATCCAAGGCGGTGTTATGCTTACGAGGCTTTTTTTTTGGGAAAATTACGTATAGGTCCCACAGAAAATAATTTATTACTCTGAAGTCCCACAAAATGTCAAAATCACTGACAGGTCCCAAGGGACCTCAGAGTAATATCTTTGATTTGTAAAATGACATTACTGCCCCTCATATTCCAGATTCACATTTGCCTTGTCATTGCGATTTACAACCTCAGCAGCGACTATTAACAACCCTAGCAGTATCCGTTAACGACTTACTTTATAGAATCATATAACCTCCACATAAGAGTAAATTATAACCAAATAGTATAATACAACAACTTTAACACTAAAATGGGAAGCTTTTTGATATCATTAAGAATTTTAACTAGATCCAATAGGATTATAGTAATATTTTAATGCGAAGATCCATTTACAACCTCAACAGCGACTATTAACAACCGAATGAGAAGGCATTAACAACCTAAGCAGTATCCGTTAACAACTTATTTTATAGAATTATATAACCTCCGCATAAGAGTAAATTATAACCAAATAGTATAATACAACAACTTTAACACTAAAACGGGAAGCTTTTTTATACCATTAAGAATTTTAACTACACCCAATAGGATTATAGCAACATTTTAATGCAAAAATTCATTTACAACCTCAACAGTAAGTATTAATAACCTAAGGAGAACTGTTAACAACCTCAGCAGTGTCTGTTAACAACTAACTTTATCGGATAATATAACTTCTAACTATAACTAACTAAATTATAACTAAATAGTCTTAAAGTTAATCTTATATAGTTGTTAGAGGTTATATTATCCTATAAAATCAGTTGTTAACAGATACTATCTAGATTGTCAACAGCTCTCTTTGGGTTATTAATACTCACCATTGAGGTTGTAAATGGATCTTCGCATTAAAATGTTGCTATAATCCTATTGAGTTTAGTTAAAATTCTTAATGATATCAAAAAGCTTCCCATTTTAGTGTTAAAGTTGTTGTATTATACTATTTGGTTATAATTTACGCTTATATGGAAGTTATATGATTTTATAAAGTAAGTTGTTAACGGATACTGCTTAGGTTGTTAATGCCTTCTCATTCGGTTGTTAATAGTCGTTGTTGAGGTTGTAAATGGATCTTCGTATTAAAATATTACTATAATCCTATTGGCTCTAGTTAAAATTCTTAATGATATCAAAAAGCTTCCCATTTTAGTGTTAAAGTTGTTGTATTATACTATTTGGTTATAATTTACTCTTATGCGGAGGTTATATAATTCTATAAAGTAAGTTGTTAACAGATACTGCTTAGGTTGTTAATAGTCGCTATTGAGGTTGTAAATGGATCTTCGCATTAAAATATTACTATAATCCTATTGGATCTAGTTAAAATTCTTAATGATATCAAAAAGCTTCCCCTTTTAGTGTTAAAGTTGTTGTATTATACTATTTGGTTATAATTTACTCTTATGTGGAGGTTATATGATTCTATAAAGTAAGTTGTTAACGGATACTGCTAGGGTTGTTAACGCCCTCTCATTGGGTTGTTAATAGTCGCTGCTGAGGTTGTAAATCGCAATGACAGGGCAAATGTGAATATGGAATATGAGGGGCAGTAATGTCATTTTACAAATCAAAAATATTACTCTGAGGTCCCTTGGGACTTGTCAGTGATTTTGACATTTTATGAGACCTCAGAGTAATAAATTACCTTATGTGGGATCTGTATGTAATTTTCCCTTTTTTTTTTTTACCCGAAGCCAGGCCAGGCTTGACATAAAGTTGTAAACTTTTTGCATTGAGCTCTTGCTTAGGTGGCAAATGCTGTTCTGAGATGGCTGACACCTCGATCAATATAGTGTGACTCAGCATGGTGGGTACTTTAAAAAACGACACCGCAGCGGCTGAGGTGCGACGTCAGATCGAAAGGCTAGGGTGTGAGACGACTCCCATCTTCATCGCCGTCGACCGAGACGGCGAGACCGCAGTGGAGGAGTGTGACGGTTCCAGTCTTCGTCGCTGTCATTCGATACAGATACTAGACATTTGGATTGGATATGTGCTTAAAAAGGTATTATGATAATGCTCTTTGGTTTTTTATCTAGCAAAGCGAGGGATCCAATGATAAAACCTGGAAATTTAGAGCTCATTCCAACTAAAATATACTTTAGAGAGTAATTATTTCTTCTGTTAATTTGAACTTAGTGAGTGCCGAAGAAACCTGACCACTCTGCTCTCTAATGTTGCAGTTGCAGTGTGGCAAAACCCTGATGAGAAGAATCCCTGTTCTGCTACGGCGAACTCCCCTCCCTGTAGTAGGGATCCCTGTTCCTCGTCGACCTCTAATTCTGTGTGAAGATGGCGAGTCAACCTCGAATTCGTCATATTATGATTACACATCAAGTTTCTTCGCGAAGTACAGGTCTGTGTTCACTAGCTCCCTTCCTCCTCCAGAATGGATAGAACCCTTCAGCGATATCTCTGACGTAGTCTCAGATCCTCAAAAGTTAAAGCCTTCGCCCTGGGTGAAAGAAATCATCAATCTTTTGGATGGTTCTTGGAATATGGAAGCTAATTTGGACGCTTACTGTCGCAAATTTTTCATCAAATTGACCCCAAATTTCGTTGCGCATGTTCTGCGGTCCATCGAGCTACATAGAAACCCTGATGTTGCTTTGCGTTTCTTCTATTGGGCTGGTAAGCAAAAGAAGTACGCCCATACTCTTGATTGCTATGTATCTGTAATTGATGTTTTGTTGTCATCCGGCGACTTGGATAGGTTTCGATATGTTTTTGCGGAGCTACAACAAATGGGTTTCTTGATGACAGCTTCTTCTGCTAATTGCTTGATTAAAAGTTTTGGTAGTGTTGGTTTGGTTGAGGAATTGCTGTGGGTGTGGGGTCAAATGAAAGAGAATGGCATAGAGCCGAGTTTGTATACCTATAATTTTTTGATGAACGGGTTGGTAAATTCCATGTTTATAGAATCAGCTGAGCGGGTTTTTGAGGTAATGGAAGATGGGAAAATCCAACCTGATATCGTAACTTACAACACTATTATCAAAGGGTATTGTAAAGCAGGTAAAACACAGAAAGCACTGGAGAAGCTTCGAGCCATGGAAAATCGGAATGTGGAGCCTGATAAGATTACATATATGACTCTGATTCAGGCGTGTTATTCTGAAGGGAATTTTGATTCTTGTTTGAGTCTTTACCAAGAATTAGAAGAAAGGGGATTGGAAATTCCACCTCATGCTTATAGCTTAGTAATCTGTGGGCTCTGTAGAGAAGGTAAACATGTGGAAGGATATGCTGTGTTTGAGACTATGTTTCGAAGGGGTCATAAAGCAAACAAGGCTATATATACTGCGTTAATTGATTCTTATGCGAAAAGTGGAAACATGGAGGGGGCAATGAAACTGTTTGAGAGGATGAATCTGGATGAGATCAAACCAGATGAAGTTACTTTTGGAGCCATCGTCAATGGATTGTGCAAGTGTGGGAGGTTAGAGGAGGCCATAGATTATTTTAGGTATTGCAATGGTAATGGTATTCCAGTTAATGCTGTATTCTATTCCAGTTTGATTGATGGTTTAGGAAAGGCAGGCAGAGTAGATGAAGCTGAGAAACTCTTTGAAGAGATGGCCACGAAGGGATGCTCTCGGGATTCTTACTGCTATAATGCCCTTATCGACGCCATGTCTAAGTGTGGGAGAATGGATGAAGCACTGGAACTCTTTAAACGAATGGAAGGTGAAGGTTGCGAGCAGACAATTTACACATACACAATACTCATCAGTGGACTTTTCAATGAGCATAGGAATGAGGAGGCATTGAGGCTGTGGGACATGATGATTGACAAAGGTATAACACCAAATGCAGCCTCCTTTAGGGCGCTCTCAATAGGACTTTGCCTTTCGGGTAAGGTAGCAAGAGCATGTAAGGTCATGGATGAGCTGGCCCCTATGGGGATTATTCCTGAGACGGCCTATGAAGATATGATCAATGTGCTGTGCAAATCCGGACGTGTGAAGGAAGCCTGCAAATTAGCTGATGGGGTTGTGGATAGAGGTAGGGAAATACCTGGAAGGATTCGTACTGTATTTATTAATGCCTTGAGGAAAGCTGGGAATGCTGATTTGGCCATAAAGTTAATGCATAGCAAGATTGGTATTGGGTATGATCGAATGGGTAGTGTTAAAAAACGAGTCAAGTTCCAAAACCTTGTTGACAGATGATTTCATCGGCTAGATGTCGCTTAAGTTGTGTATGAATATGAAGGTTCATCGACTGTCATGTCTTTTGAGTAAAGAGCTCTTGTTTTGGTGCCTTTTATTACTGTTCAATTTGTGGAGTAAAATAGTGTTTTAAAGGCAACTGCCAACTCTCTGATACATACATTTTGTTGTTTACGTGGAAGTGCAAGTATTCAGTGGTATATCTTAGATTGCTGGAGAGATTAAAGATGAAATTATGTTGAACAAATTGAGAACGCTCTGGGTTTAAAGAGTATAAACAGGGTAGAATAACAATATCATTAATTCAACATGTGATCCGCAGCCTTATATGGCCTAATTTTTCTGTTTTTGCAATGCTTATCTCAAGCCTTGAGCTTGCCCCTTCTATTAAATATAAAAAGTGAAAAACAAAGAATTCATCAATAATTTCTGAAGACACTGATGAAGGAGCAGATAGGGTTAGCTTGGGAGAGAACAGAGAAGGTGATTTTTGTTTTTTGTTTGTTTTACCAGCAACAGAGAAGGTGATTTTTTTGTTTTTGTTTGTTTTACCAGCAACAGAGAAGGTGATTTTACCACTTGGGTAAGGCCCCAGTGATCATTGACGTGGCTCTCTCTCGTGGTTGTGGAAAACTCCACCAGGGCCTCGCCCACACTACCATTGTTATGCGTTTTGTTTTGGGCCCGGCTCTCTGTTGCTACCCCGAAAGAAATATAGGAAGAGGTTGAGCCTAGCTGCCAAAGTCCATCTCTAGGGTCTGGAGTTTACAGGCGACAAATGAGAAATCAAATTTACTTATAACCCAAAACAGAAAGTCATACGCCATCCTATCATTTAACTGTTTCATTTGATAAACAATAAAAGCACTCCTTTCAGTTGTACTTTATTCAGGAAATAAACAAATGAAAAAAAAGGCGACGAATGCATGAACAGGAAGCAACGTAGTGGAGCATATAGCTCCCTGCGTCGAATGTGACAGGCATTTATTATGGAATAGATGCTGAGCGTGTTCCTATCCTACACAGCACTGGGCAATCCAATATTAGCTTTGTCACTGTGTCCTTGTTTTCGTTACAGGGCCTTTGCCAGGTTATGTCCTTTTTTCACTTTTTCTGTTTTTCATGAATCCTCTGAATTTTTTAATTACAGAGCACTGTGGGCACAGGTAAGATCAGATTAGCATCGGTAGTTGGCCATTGTGTCTAACTGTGCGTTTGGATATGGTTTTGAAGAGAAAATCATGTTTTTGAAAACATGTTAGGCATTTTTTTTTACCAATAAAATTTATAAATAAGGATTTTTCACCATTTTCCCTCCACTCATTCACTAATGAAAAATATAATTACATTCATCCAACAAAAATCGTCAAGAAAAATGAGGAAAAAGGATTATTAAGAGTGTGTTTGGGTGACACCCCAAACCATGGTTTGGGGTGTCAATCACCCAAACACCCCCTCTAAAAACCAAAACCATGGTTTTGGAAAAAGCAAAATTTTTTTGTTTTTGAAGAAAAAAGGGAGAGTGTGAGAGCCTATATGATATGTATCTTGTTTTTTTTTATAAACATATTTTTTGATAAACATATTTAATCTTATATTTTATAAATATATATACACATTAATTATATTATCTTATGTATTATTAATTATGTTGGTAAAAAATATATTATTAACAATTTTACTCCTTCAAATTAAAATATATCATAAAATTTATTTTTTCTGTAATTATCATATTAACTTATGTCTTTTTTTTAGTAATTTGTATATATAAAAAGTGTTTCTGATAACAACTATCTAAACACTCTCACTTCTCAGAATCATTTTTTTACAAAATCTATTCTTCACAGAATCTATTCTCCCCAGAATCTATTCTCCAGAATCACTTTTCCAAACCACGGTTTGGTTTCATCCAAACACACCCTAAGAAATAGAAATAGATGGGCATGTTTGAACTCCTCTGATCTCCCTAATTTCTTTCCCTCAGCCCTCCCGATTAACCCATTTCTACGCAAGAGTAATAATAAGAACATTATTAGATGATGAGCATGGAATCAAATATTAACACATTAGTAATACCATGGACTTTATTAAAAAAAATGAAGGGTAAAAAGTCAAAGTGATAATTTGACCTCCCTCCAATGTAATGCCGCACGTGATGTATTACTCTGGCGTCCAATTCATGAAGAATGCCAAACAGCTTCTGTCCCAATTCCCCGCTCACACTGTGATGCAGAATAAAAGCACCGTCTATTTGACTCTTTGCCCCCTCAAAGGCTCAAACACACCAAATTGCATAAAAGCATTTATCACATTGTGAATAGTATTGTTATGTTTGGATGAGATTTCAAAATTTAAACCGATGATAATTTATTTGTGTGTTTAAATTAATTGTAAGATATTCAGTCCTTGATTGTCCTTTCAAATTCCTTTCAAAAAAAAAAAATTTCCTTTCCTTATACATTGTATCGTTCCTAACTATCATCATGTCTTTTATTTTAAAAAAATATTATTAAAAAAAAAGGTATTTCCATTCAAACATCTCATCTATGAAGATGGGTCCAATAGTCTGAGAATAAAAGAGTGGACAAAAATAGAAGTCTACACTTAGACAAAAATTCTAATGTTTAAGAGCCTTAACGTAAACAATTATGCACCAGTTTTTGTGCTCAAGGACCGTACGGCCTGACCAAGTTGGAAATTTTGCGCCGACGAGACTCCTCTCTTCGTTCTTGTCTAATCCAACTTCTGATTGGTTCTCATGTGACCGACACAAATGGCCGACATAAATGCACGTGCGAGAATTTTTATTTTCCTATTTCTCCAGCCAAAATAAAACGAAAATTATCCTTTTTAAAATATTTTTGAAAAAAAAACTACTCATTCAGTACGGTTCAAAATTTGATGTGTTCATATGAAATCGGGGCTAGCATATTCACCAGCTGATTGTTGAATGAGATAGGCGAGTGACGTACTTAATCTTAAGCACATGATGGGTCATTAATTTAAATGGTTTAAACTGAGCTTTTTTTTTTTTTTTACCTTTGTTCTGTTAAAAAAAATCATCTTAATGTGTGTACAATGCCAAATAAAGATAATTTTTTAATTAACTTTTGAAAAAAAATAATTTTTATCTAAAAATTACTCCTCCGGTCTTTAATACAGGACCTAATTGTTGAGTTGATTTTGATTCTAAATATAATACCTGTTTCTCATATTTATCAATTTTTTCTAAATTACCCATATAAATGTCCCTCAATCATAATCAAGTAGAAGAGAGAAATAAGATATTAAAAAAGATGATTATAGTGTTTCAGGAAAAACATATCATATTTCTTATAATTAACTAACTTATCTAACTTCTTTAATCTAATCAAATTGATTAAATAGGTCTTATATTAAGGACTGAAGGAGTATTAATGAAGAATTTTACATATAGATAATTGAAATCGTATTTAAACGATACAATCCTAATTATATGAATGAATATCATGATCTTCATCAATTATCATTACGATCGGCCCTAAAACATGTTCCATCCATAAATATCTCACAATGCTATCACTGATTGTTATTTTCTCGTTTTATTCAAACTACTACCTCCGGTTATTAATATAAGATCTCATTTGATTTTTTATTGACCTTAATCCACTTTGTCTCTCATATTTATATTTTTTTTCAAGGTAGTCTCTCTAATAATAGTAGTTCTAACTAATAAACTTAATTAGTAATGATATTTTAGAAAAGATAACACCTATTTATTATAAATAACTAACTTAACTTATTTTTTTAATTTCCTCAAATTAGTCAACTAATTCTTATAATTAGGATCGAAAGTAGTACACTTAATACTTTTCCTTTTAATATTTGTTTGTCCAAAGTGATGGCACCTTATTCGGTTTCACCAGGAAAACTCTCAAAACTCCAACCATGTATTTGCTTCCACCAAAAACAATACTACCTCCAGCCCTTAATATAAGACTTTGTTTGACTTTTATTTTAGTCATAAATATAAGACCTCAATCTACTTTGTCTCTTATATTTATATATATTTTTTCCAAAGTAGCCCTTCTAACAATGATAGTTCTAATTAATACATTTGATTAGCAAGGATATTTTAAAAAAGACAACACCTATTTAGGACAAATAACTAACTCAACTTACTTCCTTAATCTCTTTAAATTAATCAACTCGCTCTTATAATTAAGACCAAAGGTAGTAGATTTTTAATGTGAAATTAAACACGCCAGAGAAAAGAATGGATGAGAAAACAGTTAAAACGGTAAATTAAGATACAACCCAAAAATTATTTAACAGCTAAAGTAAATTTTTAAAATTTTTTACTTTTCTTCAGATTTATAAATCACTTAAAACTGATTTTTCAATATATAATACAAATAATTTTATGTCAAATTGATCTTTTTATAATAATAGCTTATGAAAACATGAATCACGTTAATGTGTCATATGTGATAAACGAGGAAGAAAGTAAAAAGAAAAAATCGTGTGGTTTGAAGGACTTGAACCAATTCAACAGGCAACACGTTTGGTACTCTCGAATTCTCTCTCCCTCTCTCGCTTGTCTACCATACCCAAAACCCCCCATCTTCAAGGTGTGGACAAAGAAGTTTCGGCAAGACACAACCGTCTTTCTGCTATTAATAAGGAGGAATCGCTTAGAAACTTTTGTCTGTCAAAAGCGAAATTTCTTCTATGGGTCTCTCTTACCTACTATTTTTTTGTCTTCTTCAAGCAGGTTGGGGGGCAAAAAAAAAAAAAAAAGGCAATGAGAGTCTCAAGTTCAAATGGTTTCAGGATATTCTGAGTCATAACTTTGGGGATAAAAAAAACAATGAGAAAAATTATTGAGTCATGAGAGGGCAAGGATAACAAATGAAAATAAATACTACTTCCGGCCCTTAAGATAAAAGCTAAATTGACTTTTAACTTAGCTCTAAATATATAATCCCAATCTATTTTATCTATCATATTTATTTATTTTTTTCAAAGTAGTTATTATAGTAATTACACATGTTAAAATTCCATCAAATAGTAGTTCTAACTAATACACATGATTAGTAAAAGTAATTTAGAAAAAACAACACATATTTATTACAAATAATTAATTTAACAAACTTTTTTGATTTATTCAAATTAGTCAACTAGCTCTTATACTCTTATAATCCTAAATATAAAACCCATTTTATAATGCAATTTACACAGCAACATATGTCTTATATTTAGGACGGGAAGAGTATTAAGTAACGGGGCCAGTATTAGCAAGACCCAGCACCAATAAAAAGTCTCTAAATTAAAAGGCATTGTCAAGAAGCTGAATGAAGAAGATGAGAAGAGAGAATCTGAATTATGATAGTAGAAACGTATGAATCACGAAGAACAAGGGAAAGGGAGAGAGTCTGTGAGAGGTGAGTGATGTGAAAATCGTAAAAATATTACTCTAGAATAATTATTTAAAACAATAACATATAGCTTGCCACGTAAAATTTCATTTATTGAGTTGAGAGGATTTAATTAGTCACCCAAGAATTTTTCAAAATGAAATTGAAATCGGGCCACAACAACATTATTCCTATTTGTTTATATTTTCTTTTGGATAATTAGATATACTAGATATATTTGAAGAATTGAAAATAATTCGTAATTGTAATGATTTACAAAACCGTTTTATTTTTAACTTGTATTTTTAATATAACTATTTAATATTTAGTATTGTTAAATCTGATTCAAGTATTGCCATTTTTAATTGATCGTAATTTTTTTTAAAATTATTTTTTATATTCATCTGAATTTATATTAAAAATATAAAGCTTAAATTACCATAACATTTTTTTAAACTAAATGAACATGGGTTGTTTTAATCTACACAGAGTGATTAAGGCATAAGTATAACTAAAGCAGGGTCTCATTTTCAAAAGGTGGCTCACGCAATAAATTGGAGGGAAAGTGTTAAAGTGTCCTTAGCCACATTTGTGTTTGTAGCCCCCAAGCCCCAACCCATATCTATCTTGGCAAGAAAAGGAAGTCCATTTCTCTCCCACCATTAAAAATGGTGACCCCATTTCCTGTGGTCTATAAACTATCTTCCCCATCTTCATCTCCATGGCGCTTCTGCAACATTTAGCATTTTTAATTGTTGAGCCTTTCAAACTCAAGACAAATCCCTCCATTATATATATGTATATGGATGGATATACCCAGAGAGAGACCTTTCAATTAGTGGGGCTCCCTTTGCTCGTCTCTGTTTCCCATCTACAAAGTACACGGGCCCCCTCTTACCTGAGCAGATAAATTTTACTCTGAACTACTCGCCTCCTTCTTGTTCTTCTTCTTCTTGTTCTTGTTCTTCTTCTTCTTCTTGATGCCTCAACACCAACCATCATCGTTGATGGAACCGGTACTTCTCACTCTCAGTTACGGCAATGGTGGCACCGGCCATGACTGTGATATCTTAAGCTGGTTTGAAGATGTGACCAACAACGCTGGTTCTGTTCAGAGTCAGATGTTATCCAAAATTCTGAAGCAGAACTGTGGGGTTGAATACCTCAAGAAATGGCTTGGAGATTATAATATTCAAGACATGGATGACTCTGCATTGGAATCGCTTTTCACCTCAGTGGTTCCTCTGGCGTCACATGCAGATTTTGAGCCCTTTATCCTGAGGATTGCAGATGGGGACACAGCCCCTTTACTCACTCAGCAAGCCATGACCACCCTTTCCTTGAGGTATACAGTTCCTCCTCCTCCGATCTTCTTCTTTTTATGGTCACGTTGGTAGGAATCAGAATATTAAATAGAGACCACACATGCCCCTTTGGAGGCTTGTACGGTCAACGTTTTGTCTTTGAGAGAATTTGTTGGGTTGAAGCATCAAGCTGTTATCTTTCTTTGACACTCCATTTTTTTCCCTGATGAATTGTATGTTCTGCAGTTCTGGCACCACGGAGGGGAGGCAAAAGTTCGTACCTTTCACCCACCATAGCGCCCAGACTACCCTCCAAATTTTCACTTTAGCAGCAGCTTACAGATCAAAGTTTGTCTCAATCTTCCTCAGTCCCTGGAGACTGTTTTCTATAATTTGTTTTTCTTTTGGAAGTTCTCAGTCTTTTTGCTGATTATAATAATAATAATTGCAGAGTTTATCCCACAAGAGAAGGAGGAAGGATTCTCGAATTCATATACAGCAGCAAGCAGTTCAAAACAAAAGGAGGCTTGACAGCAGGAACAGCCACAACACACTATTACGCAAGCCAAGAGTTCAAGATCAAGCAAGAGAAGACGAAGTCATTTACTTGCAGCCCCTATGAAGTAATCTCAGGAGGAGACTACAAACAAGTCACTTACTGCCACCTCCTCCTTGGCCTTTTTTACTCTGAACAGGTAGAGTTCATAACCTCAGCTTTTGTCTACAGCATCGTCCAAGCCTTTCGCAACTTCGAGGAGCTCTGGAGAGAAATATGCTGTGACATCAGAAATGGTACTCTGAGCTCCAGAATCATATTATCCCGAATGAGAAACTCTGTTTTGGAGATTCTCTCCCATCCAAACCCATCTCTGGCTTCAAAAATTGAAGCTAAATGCCAGGAACTAGAAAAGGTGAATTGGTTTGGTTTAATTCCTAAGCTGTGGCCAAATGCCAAGTATGTGTATTCCATAATGACAGGATCCATGGAGCCATATTTGAAAAAGCTAAGGCATTATGCGAACGGGTTGCCATTAGTGAGTGCTGATTACGGATCTACAGAGAGCTGGATTGGGGTTAATGTGGATCCTAGTCTGCCTCCTGAGAATGTGACATTTGCTGTAGTGCCCACTTTCTCTTATTTTGAATTCATACCGCTTCACAGATCCCAGAAATCACAAGAGTGCAATTCCGTTAGTGATGATTTCGTGGAAGGCAAGCCAATTCCATTGTCCCAGGTTCGAGGAGGACAGAAGTATGAAATAGTCCTCACAACTTTCACTGGTAATTTTTTTAACTTCTTCATCTTGAACACGAAATAATAGATGGCCTTTACTGCTCTATTTGCAGGACAAAATTTAAATAATATCTTGCCCAGATCTAATCTGTTCTTTCCTTGTCCATGTGGGGCTTTTTGCTTCCATCTTGTTATTAAAGAAAGCTTAATATGACACGTAAAAACTGGAAATAAATTTTGTCGGGGCATCGATAATTTGGGCATAGAAAACACACGAGTTGTTTATGTGTCGTGACTAGTGCCATTTCACTACCTCCATTAACGATGTTACGTAGTTGTCATTTCATTGTCTCTTCTGACCATTATCGCAATGGCTTGTTGTGGAATTGTCATTTTCACATCCCTGACCCCATAATTAATCATGCATTAATTCGCAAAACCAAGATAAACAGAGAGACTTTGAATCGAAACAAAACAAAACTAATGTCCATTCATTCGTTTTCAGGGCTCTACAGGTGCAGATTAGGGGACGTAGTGGAAGTAGCTGGGTTTCACAATACAACTCCGAAGCTGAACTTCATATGCAGAAGGAAGCTGATTCTAACAGTGAACATAGACAAGAACACAGAGAAGGACCTGCAACTAGTGGTGGAGAGGGGTTCCCAGCTTCTGAGCGCGGCTCAAAAGAAAGCCGAACTAGTGGACTTCACGAGCTATGCGGACGTGTCAAACCAACCAGGACACTACGTTATATACTGGGAAGTCAAAGGTGAGGTTGAGGACGAGGTTCTTGAGCAATGTTGTAGGGAGATGGACGGGGCTTTTGCGGACCATGGGTATATTGTGTCGAGGAAGACCAATTCCATCGGACCTCTTGAGCTTCGGTTGGTGGAAAGGGGAACATTCAAGAAGATTCTAGATTATTTTGTTGCCAATGGGGCTGCTTTGAGCCAGTTCAAGACTCCTAGATGCACTAATAATCAGGTGCTTCTCAAGATTCTTGACACTTGCACCGTGAAAAGCGTTCGCAGCTCTGCTTACGGTTTGCAGGAATAAGAAGAAACTGCTTAAATTTGGTGTCACTTGTTAAGGTTGTATTTTGAATTTGCAAGTATGTTAATTGATCGTTCCGTTAGCAAGCTAGTTCTTGTTTGAATTGGCGAGGATTAAGGAAGGTCTCATATTACTCATATAATCTGTGTTTGTTTGGGATCATGATTGGATAATCCAAAAGCAAATATTCACATGATTCGGAACAAAAATTTCTTTCACATCTTTAAATCAAAATTAAAAGGATGCTTTTAAATAATGTTACCATTTCAAAGAAGCACTAAATTTATTAGGGTATTCTTAATTGCCCTTTAAGTTTAGAGCCCATTTGGATTCGTAGTAGAAAAATTAACTTATTTACAATCTGATTTTTGAAAAAATAGATTGGATAAAAGTTAAATTGGGTAATATAAATTGTATTTGGATTGGATTTTATAAAAGTTAGTTTGTAAAAATCATATTGATTAAAAAATTATTTGGATTATGATTAAATAAAAATACATTTAAGTTGTAAAATTACTAAAATAAACATGAGTTTTATTAAATAATGAGATAATAATCAGAGGAGTAAGATAAAATTATTATTTTGACAATTTCTAATGATCCAAACCCCAATTGTCACTTGAAAAAACCACCCTCAACTTAAGGTGAATGACGTGTTTGGCCCCATTTTTTTTACCCATAAGTGCAGTCTTGTCCAAACTCTCCCAAACAGGCTTATTTTTTAAATTGGAATTCTACTGCAAAACAAATACTTCTGCCCATGAATCGCTCCCCCAAGTGCACCCTTGGTTGGTGAGCGTTTTGCTTAACAGTCGACAGAGTGACGTGATGTTTGCAGAATAATCTCATAACGGGAGAACCCGCGAATAATTGTTTTGAGTGACTTTGAGTTATTTCAATAAAGATTAAATATATGAGACGCATTCTAGAAATTTTGCTAGGTCCTTAATATTGGAAACTTTATAGAATTTAATAAAGTATTTTAGCTATTTTGAAAAGTGTTTGTGTGTCAAATTGGTTCGAGGTAGAATATGTTTAAAAAAAACTTAAAATTACTAAATATTAAATCAAGTTTAATAACAATGTAATGGACTTGCAAATATCAAATTTTCGTAGAAATTTTTTATCTGAAGTTTAATAATTTAAAACTTCTTTCAAACATCGTTATAGGAAACTCAAAGTGCAACAAAAGAAAACCTGGCATGAAATCACAAACACACTTATATATTAGAAATCACATGATAATGTCGAGATCGATATTAAATACATGTACTGTTCTAAAGGTTTATAAAAATTATAAAAGTAAAAATCTGCAGAGTACTGTTCTAAACCCGAATTTGCATTTTAAAACATTGAACCCCACATATGGTGCGATTTTTTTCCATTGTCAAAAGAATACAAAACGGACACGGCTAAAGAGTCCATTAATCAATTGCAAGCGTTGAAATTAGAGGATATGGTAGTTGTGAATTACGTGGATTCTGGAATTGCCACAAATAACTAGCCGACGCATGAGACATATAAATTGGCTGATCAATCATTTTGTCTTTTAGAGTATTCCGAATCATAACACTTTTATTCTAATTTTGTAATTTTATTTTGAGAAATCAAATTGACTCGATCGGTTGAAATTTAATCCCTAAATTTTAATTTAGTGCAATTTAATTCTTATAGTTTTGGCTTGATTAAAACTCAATCCGTGAAATTTAATCCAATATAACTCAATTCTTATAATTTTAAATGTTTAAAACTTGATTCCTATGGAATATAAAGTAATTTTAGTCCTTATTGTTTTATTTTAAGACATGTAGGTATTGATATTTTAAATAATTAAAATCATAACAATTGAATTGCATTGAAGTAAAGTTCAGAGATTGAATTTTAATCAAATCCATATTATAGATTCAATTGCATGAAGTAATAGAGATATAATAATCAATTTAATCCGAGTCAACCTAGGCCTTAGTCTTATCTAAGCTTATGAATATAGGGTCTTATTTTAGACTCAAACCTGCTTGCAATAGGGTAGGTATGACCGAAAAGCCTAAGGAGGTAGCCTCTAAATAAGTTCAAAAACCCTAACCTTAGAAGCTCCAAGCAAGTCTAAGGCCTTCAATGATAAGACCTTACGAAAGTAGGCCTATAATTAAGGTTGAGTTATCGATATACAATTAAACAAGTTATGGCAAGTTGAAGGTTGGCTAAACTGCTTTTATCTCTAATTTTAATTGAGTCAAAATCTTATAGATTGTATGATTAATTTTTTGTATAATATATAAATACAAAACTAATATAAAATCAGGTTATTAAATCTAAGTATCTAACAAAACGAAAGACTAAATTAAAACAAATAAATAATTTAAAGGCATCGAAATGATGCTCAAGGTCATGTCTCCATCCAAACTCCAAAGATAGGCCATAATTTTCCCATGTACATAAAGGACCATTTTGTCATTTTAGTAAAAAATTAGATCTCTTTTTATGTGTGATGCATATAAAAGATAACATTTTATAATTTCTTTTTAAGTGTCGTCTTCTTTCATATACGCGTAAACCCAATCATTGTTAATATATGATATTATTGAAGGAATAAAAACAAAATTGCATGGGACTAAGTCAAATTAACATGCGAGAAAAAGTTAGAATATAAAAAAATATATTAGATAGTGTTAGAATTGCATTAGTTATGATCTATAATTAATGTATATTTTTATGAATTACATATTTTTATGTAATATTTTATTAATGCATAGGTTCAAGTCTCACGATCGATATCAAGACCTTCTTTTGTAGACACTTAATAAATCTCTTTATATAAGAGATTTCTAAGTTGTAAATCTCACTTTTTTCTCATGATGAATTCCTACAACTCCGGTTGCTCTCATTAACTTTTGCGTTTGTGGAACATATATATATAAAAAATACGAGATGAAGGCCAAAATTCAGTCTAACCCATAAATAATCCATGAGAAGGTAATTAAGGAAATTCAAAGAATCTGCGTTCAAAAGCATCGACGTACACATATATTGTACTACATATATTGCCAATGCCGACCATTATTTTGTCCCCTAAACGCACATGAATGAATTTCCATTGTTCCTTCAGAAATCAAAATCCCACTTATGATGAAGCTATTCTTAATTAATTATGCACGGTGGCCGACAGCTAAATCAATAATAAAATAATTAAGGCAGCGGCAACATTTCATCTTGTCTTCCAAATTGATTGCATATAATAAGCAAAATTTTTATTACGATTTACATGATTAAAAACGATATTTTAAGAAAATCAAGATGGAGTTGTTACATATAACTAATTTTTTAATAATATTTTCAAAATAGTTTTTTAGTTTTTATATAGAGGATGTGAAGAAGTATGTGCAGTACTATGAATCAAGCACAAGTATATATGGAGGGGGTACGTTATATGTACAAATACATATTAATGTGTGGAGCGAATGCTGCGGGAATATGTGGTGCGAATCGCTGCAGGCAGCTTGAAAGTCACAAGGTGAATCATATTTGTGGTGGCTGGAAGATGACGAGATATCAATATGAATGCTTACCTTTCAGTGTTTATAAACACGTGCAGTTCTAAATGAAAATTACTTTTATTTATATTTAATACTCCTCATGTCCTTAATATAGGACCTAATTATTGAGTTAGTTTTGATTCTAAATATAAAGCCCATTTTTCATATTTATCAATTTTCTCTAAATTACCCATATGGATACTCTCTCAACCATAATCAAATAGAAGAGGAAGAGAAGGTATTAAGAAAGATGATTGTAGTATTTTAGGAAAAACGTATCACATTTCTTATAATTACCTAATTTACTTAACTTGTTTAATATAATCAAATTAGTGAAATGGGTCTTATATTAAGGACCGGAGGAGTATTTATTTTTTAATTCTAACCTTATTTAATTCTTATTGAAAAAAAAATATATATATAAGAATGATTTATAAACGTAGAAAAAAATTAATAAAGATAAGATTGATTTTGTTTTTAATTTAATACCTAAATATGTGCATGTAATGTATGTAATGCAAGGGGAGGTGCAAAAGCCAGTAAAACCGACAGGTGGAGGGGAGGAGAACGAGCCATAACAGATGGCGGCCTTTAAAGTCACATGCTGTGGAGGGTCAATGATGGAACCGACCGTTTCCAAAGATAGAATCATAGAATTAAAGGCTGAAGAGATGTCATGTCGTTTACACCACACATATGTCGTTTAGTGCTCGTCCTTCCTCATCCCGCCACCCCGCTTGATTCTCTCCCCAGATTTTCACCCCTTTAATTATCATTTATTCGACTTCTTCCTGAAGGCCCCCTTCCCCCTTCGCATCACATCTCCACCCCCGGGGGCAAAAAAGGCGAGCAATTCAGTTGTAATATTTTAAAAAATAAATGTCTGCCTTTCTCTCATTTTTCATGTATTTATAATAATAGTTTTGTAAAATATGCACTTTTTTAATTTAAGAGTGGAGATGAGATTCTAAGAAGGGGGGAAAAAAAAGAGGGGTTATAAAAGGACTTAGGTTTCCCCAGTTCTTTCCCATCTATAATTTATCATCCTCATATAATTCCAAATTCCCTTCCGTCTCATATACAAACAAATTTTAAAAAAGTACTTTGAATAAATTTTTTAATGTTGGAGTCCTTGGATGTAATATTCCCTCCTCTCTTTTTTTTGGCCTTTCTTATAATTCTGATATTTTTAATTTAAAAAAATAATGTATCAGGGAAGCATGCAGGTCCAAATCAGTGGGCCGTGGTCCTCTGCACTCCACTACATTGTGGATTTGCTTCATCATTTTCAGAGGCTCCATAATTTTTTTAATCAAAAAATGGAAATACGTTATTTACAGCTTATGCTGCAAGGATGTTCAATACTGTGATGTGCCCTACATTTATTGTTCCTAGTGCAGAACACAAAACGTGATATAAAACATTCACGCCCTCACAAATGGACCTCTAAAAAATCTCTGCCCACCTGTGGCTTCCCTCACAACATTATGCTTTTATTCCCCAGAAAGCATGAAAAAGGGATTTTTTCTTTTCCCCAACCTGCATTTTATCTTGTTGGCCCTTATATTATATTTTAAAAGGCTTTATTTAGTAGCTTAATTTGGTTTATTTTTATTCAATCAGTGGAGG